GAAAATAGCATGATTACCAAAACTAACGCAGCTCCAGCAGTTGACCTTGAGGATAAAAATCAATGCTAAGGACAGAGAGCTTTAGTCTCTAATGACCCACCATATCCTCCCCAGACTACCTACTTGAACTTCGCTGAGAGAAAAATGAACTTCTTCTTGCTTATAACTCCATATTGATAGTCTTTAATGGCTGAATGTGATTCCTTTATGAATTCAAGAAATGATATACCCCAAACCCTGTTAGTAAAATGGTAAATATCAGACTAGAAACAAGGAAAAGTTAAGAGGTTGGGACAAAAGTTCTCATTTAGATAGAATTAAATTTGATATGCTTGTCAGATATCCAAGAGTAGTTGACATATGGACAGCCTGAATATTTCAATCTCTCACTATATTTATACAAAAGTCAGAAAAAGGATTGCTCAAAATGTGTGTGTGTATATATATAAATAAACATTAAGGGCTATGAAATGTTATGGTCACATGCTCACCTCTTCAAAATAATCTGACTTAAAGAACCAGAGCAGTAACCAGAGAGAAATTGTGAGTTTTAGGTACTCTTTCTGATTTTACTTCCAAGTTATTCTTAATAGCAGACCTCTGTTAATTATTGATTTTATTCCTCAATACCATTTATAGCCAACTTTTTCTATGGAAAATTCCTTAAGATTTGCCATTAATGAGTAACTCTGGGGACAGTCTCCAAGGACAAGAAAGATTCCTAATGCTAACCAACACTTTCCAATCCCAAGAGACACAAATACCATTAATACTCAGCTCATGAGCTACATCTTTGCTAGCTATGAACATCATCTCATCAATGTAGGCAAAGGATTCTGGGATGTCTGGACTATCCCACTTGCTTAATAAGAGCACTGGATAGAATACATATATCAAAGGATAGAATACATAGATCAACTCATAGGGTGAAGATTATGAATGCCAGTAGGTAAGTGTGGAAGGTAGCATTTGACAAATAGAGTAACAGGCTCAGACTTCAGAGTGGAACATAGTGGATGGAAGTTCTGTGCTTGAGGGCTACATCTGTATCTGTTTCTAAATCTGTATGTAAATCAATTGAGCTGTAAGAAATGTCTTAGACCATAAAACTTCTAACACCTTCATAAGGACATATCTAATAGGAAGTAAAATATATGTGTCTAGAGTTTAGAAAAGAAGATGGATTGGAAGATATAATTTAAAAGTTATCTGGTTATGTCAGAAATAGATTCACAAACAGAGAACAAACTTATGGTTGCTGGAGGGGAGGGATAGTTAGGGAGTTTGGGATGGACATGTACACACTGCTACATTTAAAATGGATAATTAACAAGGACCTACTGTATAACACATAGTACTCTGCTCAATGTTATATGGCAACCTAGATGGGAGGTGAGTTTGGGGGAGAATGGATATCTGAATATGTATGACCCTCTTCGGTCGGGCCATTGCTCTTAATCTTCCGTTGAAATCACTCTCATCGATGTCAAAGTTCAATTTTCAGTCCTTAAGTTACTTGATCTCTCAACAAGACTTTTCACAGCCGACTCCTCTTTCTTCAAATACTCTTTTTGCTGACTTTCAGGACATCCTCACAGTCTCCTAGGTAGGCAGTGATCTCACTGATGGTTCCTTAGTCTCCTTGTCTGGCTCCTCTTTCTTATTATTCATTTTTGGACCTCTTCTTTTATTTCTAGTTTCAGACTTCAAACATCTATAAACAGATAGCTTTTTAACTTTTAATTTTGTTTTAGGGTATAGCCAATTAACAATGCTGTGATACTTTCAGGTGAAGAGCTTCACTGAAGAGGGTTTTTATAAAGCATGGAAAGTAAAATAACACATTTGGAGAGTAATGGACGATGCATGATGGAGACAAGTAGCTTTTTGAAGGATCAGTCATAAAGAGTGGAGAAGTGGAGGAGTAGCTGAAGAAGGTTTAGGGGAATCAGTAGGATATTAGGGTGTTGTCCATCTGAGGTTGAGATTTTAGACAGTTGCTTCTGCTGCTGCTGCTGCTAAGTCGTTTCAGTCGTGTCCGACTCTGTACAACCCCGTAGATGGCAGCCCACCAGGCTCCGCCGTCCCTGGGATTTTCCAGGCAAGAGTACTGGAGTAGGGTGCCATTGCCTTCTCCTTTAGACAGTTAGGACCTCACAATTTTATATAGTTAGGACCTCGTATGTTTTCAATGCTGAAATATGATTCTGATAATCTCAGTTTTCAACCACTCCTGATCTATCTGAGATCCAACACGAATGATTATTTTTCAGGTGAATTATCAGGAGGTGGATATAATAGCAGAAAGGTTATTCAAGCAAAAGTATCAGGAAGATTCAACCTGGGAAAGGATGTAAAAATGTGAGAGATTTGGTCAGAGAGAACATGCACTCAACTTCTTGACTGTTGGTTTAAAGAAATTTAAAAAAAAAATATGATTCAACTTTCAGTGTATTTATAATATCATTGATACAAGAAAATCTATATGTCATAAACATTAGAAAACATCTTAAGATAATATTCAATTAAGGACTAGATTATCCTTTGTATAGATCAGTGTGTGAAAGCATAAGTGAGAATATTCATAAAAGTTATGACATGATCAGCTCAAGGAGAAAGGAGACTAAATAGTGATAAAAAGTAGAAAATCATGTTTATTGGTAAGTGGGTGCAAAGATAGAAGCTCTCGATAACCAGGCACAGATAGGTATAAGTGATGCATTTTGTGGGCATGCTCATTCGCTCAGTCTTGTCCTCCTCTTTGTGACCCCATGGACTGTAGCCTTCCAGACTCCTCCGTCCATGGAATTTTCCAGGCAAGAATACTAGAGAGGGTTGCCATTTCCTTCTCCAGGGGACCTTTCCAACCCAGCGATAGAACCAGCATCTCCTATGTCTCTTGCATTGGCAGGTGGGTTATTTACCATTAGCACCACCTGGGAAGTGATGCATTAGAAAATAAGATATTAGAGATATTTGAGCAAGGGAGAGTCAAGCCAAAACCAAAAAGCTGTACATTTTCTGGAATCAATAAAGCTGGTAAAGCTGCTGATAAAGTAACTGGGAGCAAGTTGTTGAAAGTACAAAGACGGTAACTGTGAAAAAGTTGAGAAAAAGACAAAAATGAAGATCATTTTGTAGTTTAAAAAAAGTGTTATAGTACTAATATGGATTTTAGGGATGAAATAAAAAGATGAATCAGTGATTCCAGTCTTACTAGGAAAATATTTGGAGGAAAAAACTTTTATTCATAAAATGTTAAAATGGAAGGAAGAACATTTCAGCACTTGGGGAGGAAAACATATGACCCTCTCCTGTCTTCACTATCAATTAATTAATTTATTATTCATCTGTGACAAATACTGCTTCATGGATGCCGACCCTGGGGACTCAAGGGAGAAGAAAACCAGATACAGTATTTGCCTTAATGCACTTTATGGCCACTTGAGGGAGTCCAACAAAACTAAATACCTTAAATAAATATTTTAACAAAATAAATATGAACAACATTGCCCATATGACACCTATAGCAATTCTATGAAGGTGCTATGTGTGGTAGCATATGAAAAGTAGGTTTGACTTAATCAAATAGACAAGGGAAAACTTTCCTAAGAAAGTCACTAATTGATCTGAGACTGTGAAAGGATGAACAGGAGCTGACTTAAAATGAAGCAAAGGAACATAGTGCACAGGAAGAAATGCAAGGCAGCCAGAGTGACTAGGGAACAGAGAATGAGGGGACTGTAGCGTAAGATGAAGCTGCTGAGACATCAGGAGGTCAAGACAGATTGAGCTTTGTTAGATATGGTGGGGATTTTTGTTCTTTCACAAGCCCAGTGGTTCTCCGGACACCCGTTTTTAAGCAAGCAACAGACATGATCAGAGTTTGTTTTTTGAAAAGATCACTCTGGTGGCAGTGTGGACAATATATTGAATGAGGCAAGAGTGGGACTATTAAAGCAGTTCAGAAGTTAACAGGACTCTAGTCATTAACAGTAACTTAAACTAGACTAGTGACTGTGTAGATAGGTAGGAGTGTTCACCAAGTTCCTATGATGTGCCAAGCACTAAGCTAATTACTGAGATGCAGTCTTTGCATTAGTAGGCTCAAGTTCTTGTAATAAAAACTGATTCATAAACAAGTACTTATGCCATCCAATAATACGAAGACTAAGAGAACTTTTTCACCCTTAAACTACTCCAGGAAGCTCCTGGTGTTCCCTTCATTCCCTCATCTTTGTGCTTCCTCACTTAGATCATCCTTCAGAAAGTACAAATCCTGTCCCTCCCATTGCTGATTGAGTTTCTTTTCTTCATTCCTCATATTTGTGGTATAAGGAAACCAACTGATAAGAGAACCTTCGAGGTTAGCTACAATACACTTCAGTAGCTAACAATGAGTGAAACCTCTTTTTAAGGTGATTCTTTTCTTGTAACCCATCAAGACCAGAAATGAACTGCAGCAAGAACCCTGACTTTGTCCTCTCAGGGCTTTCCGGTGACTCAGGCAAACCGCAGCTCCTCTTTGGGCTCCTCCTGGCCCTCTACTTGCTGGGTCTCTCAGGAAACATGCTACTGCTGCTGGCTATCGGAGCTGACCTCCACCTCCACACCCCCATGTACTTCTTCCTCAGCCAGCTCTCCCTGGTCGACCTCTGCTTCACTACCACCACAGCCCCCAAAATGCTGGAGACTTTGTGGACCAGCAACGGATCGATCTCCTTCTCTGAGTGTCTGGCCCAGTTATATTTCTTTGCAGTTTTTGCTAATATGGACAACCTGCTTTTGACTGCCATGGCTATCGACCGCTACGCTGCCATCTGCCATCCTCTGCACTACCCACTCTTGATGACTCCTTGCAGATGTGGGCTGCTGGTGGGTGGGTCATGGGGAGTGGCCCACTCTGACTCTTTGATCCAAACCTTGATGCTAACCCGACTGTCATTCTATACTAATCAAGAAATTCCCCACTTTTTCTGTGATTTCGGACCACTCTTTAGACTTTCCTGTTCTGATACCCACCTCAATGAGGAGCTGATGATGGTTCTGACAGGACTCTTAGGAATCAGCCCTCTCCTCTGCATCATAAGCTCTTATGCCCATATTTTCCTTGCTGTAGCTCGGGTCCCATCAGCACAGGGGAAAAAGAAAGCCCTGGCCACATGCAGCTCCCACCTCTCCATGGTCATCCTCTTCTACAGCTCGGTCTTTGCCACCTACCTGAAGTCCCCGTCAGCTTCCCATGCCTCTGGGGAGCTGGGTGCTGCTATCATGTACACTCTGGTAACCCCCACTCTCAATCCTTTCATTTATAGTCTAAGAAATAGGGATGTGAAGAGATCCCTGAAAAGGATTCTGGGCATAGAGAGTTCATGGCATTAGGAATAATTCCCAGAAACAAGTGTTGGGGAAAAAATGCACCATTCACCACCACACTGACAAAGTGAGCCAGTTAACACCAAGGCTATCACATGTCACACAGCATGATATGGTATATCGAAAAGAACACTAAATAGAAATTTGGAGACCTTGCTTCTAGGTTCCACTCTGGGTGCAAGCTTGTATATGTATTCCAGCTATAGGTGTGTATATATTATATACTAATCTGTATTATTATCACAAAACATTATATCAGTAATATGTCAAAGGGAATATAATAGATATTACATTATAATATATAATTAAGTATCTTATATAAATATAATATTCTTAAGAGTTGATTGGATGAGCTACTCTTTATATTGCCTTATAAAAATTGTACTATTGAAACGTGATCAAACGTGATCTTTCTATTCCCATCATTATGAACATTTTGATCACTATTGCCATTTCTATCACCAGTTTAATAATGAAGATCATCACCATCAGTTTTATTGTGGTCAACATCATCTTTCTGTCATCAGAGTCACCTTACAGATTACCATCTTCAGTTCTCTCTGCATCAGTAACACCAGTATAATCATCATGAGTAAGAGAATAAAAACTGATCCTATGCACTTTTTCCCCTTTTAATGCTTCATTTTTTCAGAATGTTCTATTAATTTGTTTAAATGACAATCCCAAGCTACCAATCTTCCCCTCCCCCTCACTTTTCCTCTCTGATAACCATAAATTCATTCTCTCTAAGTCTGTGAGTTTCTGTTTCATAAATAAGTTCATTTATATCTTTTTTTAGACTGTATGAGATATTATATGATATTGGTCTTTTGCTGACTTACTTTACTCAGTATGACAATCCCCAGATCCATCCATTTTGCTGCAAATGGCATTATTTCATTCTTGGCTGGGTAATATTCCACTGAATATATGTTCCTCATCACCTTTATCTATTCTTCAGTCAATGGACAGATGGGATTGATATGTACACACTGCTATATTTAAAAAAGATAACCAACCATGACTTACACTAAAAAGATAAAAATAAAGCAAAAAGTTAAAATGAATAAGTGAATTGCATTCAGCTTTAAATATTTTTAAAATATCCATATGCTTAGACATGGCAATCAAACCACGAAGAATACATTAAAGTAAATTCTGGAAATAAACAATGCTTGTATAGTGAAAGAATGGAATACAACTAAAAATTCCCAGTGACAAAAGAATATTTAAGAACATTATAGTTAGCCGTACTATGAAGCCCAGAAGAATAAAGTATTCAACTGGCCACAAAGTTCACTCAGTTTTTTTAGCCAAACCCATAACCAGTCCATCTACCATGAAGCCAAAGAGCCAGGCTATGCCCACCAGCCCTAAGTACTGCCTGGGAGTAAGTGGCAGAGTGGGTAACAATTATTCAGTAGTGATTATATTCCTTGATAACCAGTTGTCCCTGGAGAGCCAAAGATAAAGAACTGGATCAAGGAACCAGTCATAGAGATGAATGCCTTCTGCAGGAAGTCCTCTAACACTTTTGGCATCAATTTAACCATGTAGAGATTGTCAAAAAAGGATAAAAATACAAACAGTTAGACTCAGAAACATAACTTACATGTTGGAGATTGCTCCACAGCCATGTCAAGGATCTGGGATCTCTTGTCACTGATATTTATCTCCGTTGCTGGACCATTGTCTAAAGGTGAAAATGCCCACATGACTGGTATTGACTCTGAGGTGCTGAAATCGAGTAAGAATGTTACTGACAAGAGTTTCTGCAAAGAAGGTCTGCACCTTGAGCACAAATTTTGTTGTCAGTCTTGTCCTTCTGAGATCAAGCTATGAGCCTTTGCAGTGGGAGCACTGACTCCAAGGCCATAGACTATGAGAGAATTAACCCTAGGGAGTATCAAATAGTGAGAACTCACACAAAGGAAACTCACACAAAGGATGCCAAGACCTGGCATCACTCAACCACCAGTAGCACCTTGCACGGACGCCTCATCTAAACAACAAACAAAACAAAAATACAAACCAAATAAATCATCAGCAGACAGGATTACCACCTCACTCAGCCTTGCCCATCAGAGGAAAAAAGACAAACAAATGAAAACTCAGCAGAAATATCACCCTATACAACACAAACGACCCTGAATAGCCAAAGCAGTCTTGGGAAAGAAGAATGCAGCTGGAGGAATCAACCTTCCTGACTTCAGGTTATACTACAAAGCTACAATCGTCAAGACAGTATGGTACTAGCACAGAAACAGAAACAGACCAATTGAACAAGATAGAAAGAACAGAAATAAATCCATGCACCTATGGGTACCTTATTTTTGGCAAAGGAGGCAAGAATATACAATGGAGCAAAGACAGCCTCTTCAATAAATGGTGCTGGGAAAATTGGACAGCTACATGTAAAAAATGAAATTAAAACACTTCCTAACACCATACACAAAGATAAATTCAGTATGGATTAAAGACCTAAATGTAAGACCAAAAAATATAAAACTCTTATAGGAAAACATAAGCAGAACACTTGATGACTTAAATTAAAGCCAGACCCTCTATGACCCACCTCCTAGACTAATGGAAATAAAAACAAAAGTAAACAAGTGGGACCTGATTAAACTCAAAAGTTTTGCACAGCAAAGGAAACTATAAGCAAGGTGAAAAGACAACCCTCAGAGTGGGAGTAATAGCAGATGAAACAACTGACAATGGATTAATTTCCAAAAGATACAAGCAACTCATACAACTCAATACAAGAAAAAAAAACAACCCAATCAAAAAGTGGGGAAAAAACCTAAACAAACATTTCTCCAAAGAAGACATACATATGGTTAACAACACATGAAAAGTTGCTCAGCATCACTCATTATTAGGGAAATGCAAATCAAAACTATAATGAGATATATACCTCACACCAGTCAGAATGGCCATTATCAAAAAGTCTACAAACAATAAATGCTGGAGAGGGTGTGGAGAAAAGGGAACACTCTTGCATTGTTGGTGGGAATGTAAATTGATGGAGCCACCATGGAAGAAGGTATGAGGATGCCTTAAAGAACTAGGAATAAAACTACCGTCAATTCAGTCGCTCAGTCGTGTCCGGCTCTTTGCGATCCCATGGACTGCAGCATGCAGGCCTCCCTGTCCATCACCAACTCCCAGAGTTGACTCAAACTCATGTCTGTTGAGTCAGTGATACCATCCAACCATCTCATCCTCTCTCATCCCCTTCTCCTCCTGCCCTCAGTCTTTCCCAGCATCAGAGTCTTTTCCAATGAGTCAGTTCTTTGCATCAGGTGGCCAAAGTATTGGAGTTTCAGCTTCAACATCAGTCCTTCCAATGAACACCCAGGACTGATCTCCTTTAGGATGGATTGGTTGGATCTCCTTGCAGTCAAGGGACTCTCAAGAGTCTTCTCCAATACCACAGTTCAAAAGCATCAATTCTTTGATGCTCAGCTTTCTTTACAGTCCAACTCTCACATCCATACATGACTACTGGAAAAACCACAGCCTTGACTAGACGGACCTTTGTTGGCAAAGTAATGTCTCTGCTTTTTGATATGCTGTCTAGGTTGGTCATAACTTTCCTCCCAAGAAGTAAGCATCTTTTAATTTCATGGCTGTGGTCACCATCTGCAGTGATTTTAGAGCCCCCCAAAATAAAGTCAGCCACTGTTTCCACTGAAAAACTACCATATGACCCAGAAACCCCACTCCTAGGCATATACCCTGAGGAAACCAAGTTGAAAAAGACACATGTATCCCATTATTCATTGCAGCACTATTTACCATAGCTAGAACATGGAAGCAACATAGATGTCCATCATCAGATGAATGGATAAAGAAGTTGTGATACATGTACACAATGGAATATTACTCAGCCACAAAAAGGAATACCTTTGAGTCAGTTCTAATGAGGTGAATCAACCTAGAACCTATTATACAGAGTGAAGTAAGTCAGAAAGAGAGAGATAAATATCATTTTCTAACGCATATATGTGGAATCTAGAAAAATGGTTACGAAGAATTTATTTACAGGGCAGCAATGGAGAAACAGGCATAGAGAATAGACTTATGGACATGGGGAGAGGGGAGGAGAGGGTCAGATGTATGGAAAGAGTAACATGGAAACTTACATTAGCATATGTAAAATAGATAACCAATGGGAATTTGCTGTATGGCTAAGAAACTCAAACAGGGGCTCTGTTTCACCCTAGAGAAGTGGGATGGGGACAGAGATGGGAGGGAAGTTCAAAAGGGAGGAGATATATGTATACCTATGGCTGATTCAGGATGAGGTTTGACAGATAACAACAAAATTCTGCAAAGCAATTATCCTTCAATAAAAAAATAAAAAAGAATGACTTCTTGACTTTTTGTAACCTGCTCACCACCTTCTATTTGTCTTATGAATTGAGATCTTGACTCATATTTTTAAACCCTAAAATGCAAATTCAAATAAATATAATATGCTTTGCAAAAAAGAAACATAACTTACACAATGAGCACACAATAATTGCTATTTATTTGTGTTATAGTCATAGTATATACTAGAATAAGAAATTATTAATGTGATGAACATATAATGAACTTCTAAATAGCAAAAATGTGACTTGCAATAGGAAGATGGACAAAGGATATGTCATTTATAATTGGAATTAAAAAGCCTGGATAGATGTCAGAACACATATAAATATCCTTTGGATAAGGCATATAGAGTACTTTTACCTAAAGGATATAGCAAGAAGTGAAGATACACATTGGAGAGACCAACGTTATTCTCCTAGGGGGAAATGTGAGCTTGGGAATTCCAAAATTAAAGAAAATAGCTTAGTGTTAATACCAACAGTCAGTCCTAAAGGAAATCAGTCCTGAATACTCATCGGAAGGACTGATGCTGAAGCTGAAGCTCCAATACTTTGGCCATCTGATGGAAAGAACTGACTCATTGGAAAAGACCCTGATGCTGAGAAAGATTGAAGGCAGGAGAAGGG